CCCAATTGTGAGATGCACACGCGTGTTCGTATGAAATTATCCAAATACGCGCTTCCTCCGATTTTCCATCATATTTTTCTATATTGATTGTATCGCATGATGGGTTTAGTGACATTTTTTCGATGGTATGTCGAAAAGAGTTCATAATCTTCAACATCGCGGCTTGTTTGTCCATGTACAGCTTTTGCAACTGAACCATTTGCGCCAACACATCCGACTTCGGGTCATGTGAACTGTCCGTAGGAGGAGTACTGTCCGTAGCGGCCGGTCTTAGTAAAGTTTTATCAAGATAAAGCTCACCTTCTGTCTCCGATAATGAAATAGTTAGTGTTCGGTAATTCGTCATCGTCCGGCTAGCAGTTTGAAAAACCGACGAGGACAAAATAGTGGGATGATTTTCGACTCCTTGAAATTCTTGGTTGACTTCCGTCCATTCGTCTTTCCCCATCTATTTTATGTGATATCAGGAGATAATGTAGGAATCTTCGATCTTCTATACTAAGAATTTGAAAAGCATAATTCTACTTCTACTTCAAAACTATATAAACTCAACTGTGTACTGAGATCCTGCCGACTGCGCCAATTTGTAATATTACAAATATTCAGACTGCTACACTTTAACAAAAAGGAAAAGTGATTCTAAGGACGGATGAATTTAATGTCCGTTTTCCAGATGTCCAGTCTGCAAGGTGGGGACCTTACTCTCCTCTATCCCCTGACCAAGCGATCTTTTCCCCTTCGTGACCCCCTCAGTTCTCTGAATTCTTGACCATTACAGATGTGGAGTTAAGGGGAGTGGTGCTAATGAGTAGCAGATTTTAAACTCTGCTTACANTTCTTTAATAAATTAGAGTGATGTACGAGGTACAGAAAAAGCTCTAGAATTTATTTTCCTTAAATTTACGATTTATGTATCCGTTGTCGTAAAAATTTGTCTTTCCACTTTTTTCCCAAAACTACAAATATTCGAGTACAAAGTAACTGGTTTCAACTTGATTGATTAAAAATTAATACGGAATGCACAATTTCATGTTTAAATACAGGTTAAGGATAAGGAAGGTTTGCCCTCCCACTCCCTATTTTGAGCAAAAAACAATAAAAGAAATTTTTGTAATTTACATAATGAGAAAATGTAAGTGTTTTTTATGATTTGGTTTGTTTTCTATGGTATAACATGGTCGTGTTTTAATATTTCTTATTTATTTGAACTAGCACTGAGGGGTTGGAGTATATTATACCAACCCGAAATATATTTATAGTTCAATGGAAAATAAAAAATAATTTGCTAACCAGAAATTGCTGAGATACGTCTACCAAAGTGTGTTTTTTTAGATTACAGAGACGGATTTACATTTGTAATATACCATACAGCAAGCCGTTTATATATTAATTAATTAATGATAAATACTGCACAGTTAAAGAAATTTACGAAGTTTGTTTTTTGAAAGATTAGATGATAGGATCATATGCAATGCTTCTTTCAAATCAATACACAAAAACATGTTTAAAATACTCCTCTTTTCTATCTTTGTCAGCAATATTAAAAAAAAAAAATACAAAATATGATTTTGTCAATCATTTATAACAAAGCATTTATCATTTAAAACTAATTAGTGCTATCTATGCCTTCTGCTTTTTCAATTTAATCATGTCATAATATTGTGATAATATGTCATATGTTTTTAAAAATGTAAATAAATATTATACTGAATAAATAAACCAGGCAAAAGGAAGATATATCCCACTTATCCATATCCTCTTAAGTTATTCTGAGTATGAGAAATCACTCCTTTAACAAAATAATTTACATAAGCTGCTTTATATGGGAAGGAATAAGCTTTAAAATTTATATCCTGAACTTATCATTAATGTAGAAAGAATGCTAAAATTACCAGAGCATTATCAAAACCTTCCACAGAACAACAAGAGCAAATTGCTTTGAATATCCTAAGTTCAACAAATTCTGAGGGACATTCCGCTTAGAATTCTTAAATGCAGATTTAAGAATTCTATGGAAGAATGTGTAACATTTAATAGTTATTTTTAATCAAAGTTTTATAAGAAATCTTATTTTGTTATTGTAAATTTTTCACATAAATATCAGAATTGTGAAATTTTGATATTTATGTGAAAAAATTTTCTTATTGAGTAATGATAAATGTATATTAGAATTGTAAACTTGTTAATTTATATACTTGGAATTTAATGATATTAAAATTTAATTATTTGTGATTATTTAATTCAGTATTTTCTGATTTATTTAACTAGTTTTTTTGTAGTAATTTGTTTTCTGCTAACATTATTTAATATTAGATCTCAAATATTACTTCAATGGAAATTGATGCAAATGAAATCAAAAATAGGCTAAATATCGTCAAACCTCTATAGCATTGTAGTATAGTATTGTATCAGTTTTTCAACATTGGCATTTTTAATATTAGTATATTCTTCTATCAGGGATAGATCTAGATAGGAACAATAGGATGATGTCCATGCTATAACCACTTGACATTTTATTTATTATAAAAATTACATCTTGAGATTTGGTTTAATCTGCTCTTATGGGATGGAAGAATGTTAAATATGTTACTGTTTAATGTTGAAAAATACTGCATATAAGGAATTATACTGCAATTATGTGGTATGTTATAATTTGTTTAGAAAATATACATTAGAAATTGCAAAGTTGTAATTATTAAAGAAAAACATGCAGAGTAGTTTCCCTAACAAACATTACGTCCTATAAATGTAAAATTAATAGAAATGTTAAAATTTTGTATAAAGTTAGAAATTTGATAAAATTGTATTCTATAATAAATATAGATATAATAATTATAAAATAATAAAATTTAAAATATTTTAACAATTTGATTTTTATTTATTTTTATATAATTTTCAGTTCATAAATGAGATTTTGAAGTTCACTATGAAGTTTTCAGTATGCAATTTAACATAGCCTGAGAATTTAAAAAGTTCATAACATTTATAATGTTCAAACCTACTATATTTGTTAAGTGTTTTTTAATAAATAATTTATTAAAAAACACTTAATATAAGTATCTTTACAAATATATTAATTAGTTGCAGTGTCATTGAATTTATCAATATTTAATAAATAAATATTTTGATTGACAATTGAACACATTTTTACCTTATTTAAACAGAGAAATCAATATTTTTTTCTGTCTGAGAAAAGCGAAAAGAATTGCTTGTACATTACAGAAAGTGTTTTGAAATATTTTGAAAGTAAACAATGATGACAACTTCTGATACAGAATATTGTTTATTCTTATTATCATCAATAAAAAGGGCTTTGTTCATCATTTAAATTAGTATATTTTGTTGATTAATTAATTAATAATTAAATCAATATATTATGACCATATAAATAATTTTGGGTCTATGCAGAATTATCTTTTTTAATTGTCCAACAAGAGACAGATGGTAACAACTTAAAATCAACAAATATATATTGATTTAATCAACAAAATCAATCCTTGGAACTTTGTTACTACTATAGTATATTTTGTAATCATTAAAGTGTACAATTTATAGTAATTAACAAAAAATACTGAAAGTGTGTTATTAATGAATTATAAATAATCATCTTATAATTTGAAAAATATAATTAAAATTAAAAAGTATTTAATCAGTTAAAACTGAAAATAAAAATTTACCTGAGAATTATAATTGAAGATGATGATAAAATAAAATAAATACTTCGTTGCTGGAAATACTTGTTGTTTGATTATTTGAAGATTATGATGTTTTGATGTTTAATAATGAATCTGAAACTAACAATGAAAATGAATTAATTATAAACAGCAGTACAGCAAGAAGACTGAATCATGTTATACACTTATACAAAAACTGTTACTAGCCTACACTATTTATAAAAATTAATATTAAATTTCATATCATCATTCTGTTTCATTATCATTAGCAATCGTAAAATTCTTAATTTGTTTTCCCTATATACTAATGGTGTAAAAATTGTAAGTACCAAAAATACTGGCAGTCAATTACAATGTGTTTTTGAAATTTGCTTGTTGAGCATGTGTTGGATTACTTTAGACCAAACTTTTCTTTCAGCTTTAGGTGTTACAGGTAAATAGGTGTTAATATGTTGTATTTTCTTCTTACAAAAAGAAATTATCTTTTATAAGTTATATTTTATCTCAATAAGAAAATCTAGTTGACTACCTGGATTATATATAAAGTTCTGCTCTATTCATTCAAGCTACATATTCTGTTCACACCTTCCTTTTTGTTAAGTTAGGAAAATCATTCATTTTAAATAAATCAAAATACTATTATATTCAAGATTTTTGTAACTTTTTTTTATTGGCAGGCTTCCGTTTTCATATTTATTTCAAAAAAATTTCGAAGGAAGTACTAAGAAGTTCAATTGGGAATTTTATTATAGGTTGAGTCATAAATAAGTTCCATTTTCTAAACTGAAATTTATTTGCCAATAAAATGTACAGCAATAGACTTTAATCTATCACATATTCACCATCATTATTAATTTCTTGCCATTTTTCGGGCAACTTGTCAATTCCTCTTGCATAAAATTCTGGTGGTTTTGAATCAAAAAACTCCTGGATGAACTCCTGAACTTGGTCATCATTTTGGAAGCATTGCCCTTGTAAAGCATTCTGCAGTGCCCGGAAAAGATGGAAATCTGTTGGTGCCAGGTCCGGTGAATATGGTGGATGAGGCAAAACAGACCAGCCAAACTCCTAAATTTTTTCTTGTGTAATCTTTGCTGTGTGTGGCCTTGCATTGTCATGCAATAAGGTGATCTTTTTTCTGTTAACAAGTGCAGGACGCTTTTCATGAAGTTTTAGCCGAAGTTGCTCTAACTGTTGTATGTATACATTCGCAGTAACAGTTTCATTGCGTGGCAACAACTCAAAATGGATAATTCCTCGACGATCCCACCATACACACAACAAAATTTTCCTTCCATGCACATTTGGCTTAGGGTCTGGTTGTGGCTATTCATTTTTGTCAACCCATTGTCTTTTTCGAATAACATTTTTGTATGTGATCCACTTTTCATCTCCCATAACAATTTTAGCCAAAAATGATTCCTTTTTTTGCCAAGAAAGCAAGGTAGCAGCTGTCGACCTTCTGTCAGCCTTATTCAGTTCACTGAGGTTATGTGGAACCCAAACTCCCAGCTTGCTTACTTTTCCTATCTTTTGGAGGTGACGATTGATAGTTGATTGGGATCTGTGCAGCTTCTCTGCTAACTCCCTCGTCGTTTGCCGTGGATTCTGCTCAATCAAGACCTTTAAAACATCATCGAAGTCTGAGGAGCGGCCTGGTCTTTCATCATCTTTTAAGGAGAAATCACCAGAACGAAATTTTGTAAACCATTTTCGAACTGCTTTGTCTGAAATTACACCATTGCCGTAGACATTGCAAATCTTTTTTGCTGTTTCTGTAGCGTTATTGCCGAGTTTAAACTTCCACAACATGATATGGCGTACATGCACTTTCAAATGTTCCATTTTAAATGAATTCAGAAACAATTTTTCATTACATTATTGACACTTCAGTGTTAAAATTTACATTTATGGACTATTTGCTAATAGCCACTAATAAAACTCAGTTGAAGCAACACAACATCTGGCAAGTATTCGACAGTCATTTACACCTACTTGCTAACGGAACTTATTTATGACTCAACCTAATATTTTCATCAAATATGGAGGCAAGTTTTGTTATACTTCTCTCTATAAATTTATTTATTTTTTTATTTAATACAATTGGAAACGTCAGGAGACAATTGTAAATATTTTGGAAAATATAGATATAATATTTATATCCTAATAATATTTTCTTTGTAACCTGTATTTCAAACTGTGATTGTTTGAGTTTATGTAATATAAACATGAAATTTTTTAGAAGTATTTGCAAAGTGTACAATAGGAAAGTATGGTACTTACCTGATATATTGTCTTCAGTTGCAAAAACTCCCAGAATCTGTTGCCAGTGTCCTGTTAAAGGTTAGTACATTATCACCATTCCATGATCACATGGAGTAGTCTTCATGTGTTCTGGTGTAAAATCACCCAAATCTACAAATCCTTCAATTAAGACCAGAGGATGTAATGTGATAACTTTCTGAAAGTTTGAGTTCATCTACTGAAAGATCACCATGTTTTTGAAATTCATCTAATTCTTTAACGTTTTCTTTTAGTGCATCAAATGTTTTTGGATTAAAGCCGAATCCACTTTTAAAACTTCTCATATACTTCTGAAGTGTGTTATGGCATGGTAGTACAAGAATTTTGTTGATTCTAAGATGCTCATACAATCTGGGACTTTTCATCCTCATGATAATACATTCCAAAATCCATTCTGGGTCATAAGGTAAACCACTGTTGGATTTATGTTTGGATGCTAGAAAACAGTGCTTTACTGCTAGCTGTTCTTTTGCAGGCAAAAATTTTATTTCTTCTTTCAATGTAGACTGCTGAATTTTACTGTTTGATGTATGAATTTGGGTGATTACAGACTGTAATTTATTTACTTTCCTTCTTAACCCTAGATAACTAAACTTAAATTTCAGTTACATTATAACTACACATTCGTCAAGCAGACTACGCATTAAAAAACATTAATATCAACAACATTGTTTAATAAAAATAGGAACTTGTTAAATGGCACAATAATATGGATAAATAGGAACTAAATAAGGACAAAATATTTAGGAAATAAGATTACACGCAGTTGCTACACATGTTAACATTATGGGGCCCGCAAAACGCATTTTTGAATTTTATGCAAGTGTTTTGTCATTCGTTGAGCTTTCGATAGACAAAAATAGCATATTCTATGTGGATTCTATGCAGAATGAGTAGTAGCTATATACTACACTGGGCACATCACCTAGAATATCCTGTATCATGGTTCTGATATCATGCCTCAAAGACACTATCTGTAACCACTGTTGTAGCTGGGGCTCCATGAGTTTGTCTCCCATCTTCATAAAGAAATCCTACAGGGACATCGGTTTTATTGTAATGTTATTAGATACGTAGATAGCATAGTTGTTTATTGCCAATAGGTTTAGCATATTATAAATCACGCATAGTGGCCACTTTTTGGTTTTGACTCATATTTGAACACATTTGATCTACTGTGTCTATTGCACCCTTTGTACTATTGTAAAAATGTATTATTTGTGGTTTTCCTATATTTTTATTGATGTTAAGTTGATCATGAATAGTTGACAAAACATAAACAACTTTATTTGACATGTGTTTGTACTACGGCAACAAGACATTAGTTTCGTGTCTAATGTCTTATTGCCACCATCATCATCATCATCATCATCATCATCATCCTTTATTAGTACACATAGTACAGACTCAGTACCGCATTGGCACAACCGGGTATGATGTACAGTTACAACAGGGAAATTATACAGGTTATTACAAGATAAGCTTAAGTAGAATAAAAGAAAAAATAAAAAATAAAATAAAGTAAAATATTAAAAACATATAAAAAAAGAACTATATAAACATACAAGCATGTGAATGGTGTAGATACATTATAGATAGTACATTACAATAAACATACAAAGTAAGTAACATACAGCAGTTGTAAAATAATACAAATTAGTTGGCATGACAGTAAGGTGTTAACGAAAATACATAAAAATGCACAAGATACAGGGAGAAGTATACATCCAGCAAGGCAAGCATAGAATAAGGTGCTGGCATACAGTGAATACAATGATGTACGGTAACAAACAAGACGTACATTAAAAGGATGTAGAAATGTACACAAATGTCTTATTGCCATTGTAACAAAATATTGAAGTACCAATAGTGCGTGATTTAGAATTTTTTAATTTTTCAGGAATTTCTCTTTTGTTACTTCTAAGTGCCAACTAAGGTCAAATTATAAGGTGACTTCAATAGTTTATCTGCCAAAGATACAGATGTGAACCTGTTATCCATAGTAATGCTACAGTTTGTTCCATGTAAAATAGATGTTATTTCCTTTATGAAAAATGTAGCCAATATTTGTTTTTAAGGATCAGAACCTTTTTCCAAATAGGGAATGGCATTTGTCTTGTACATCTGCAGCCATAACAATGTACATAATGTACATGAGTTTGCAACAAAGTTACTTAGTAACTAAACTTTCGTTGAGCGGACTACGGAATGGCTGTAAGTCAATTTCTAATTGATGTGTGAACACAATTACATCACTCACAACACTGTTTATTCAAATTATTAACCCTTATATTACCGTTTGCCACGCCCCTTTGTTTACGTGTATTTCTAAAAGGGCCAAAGGCAATATATGTCACACAAGGTCAGACAGGTAATATTATTTTAAAAATTCACCAAAAATCAAGTTATCGTTATATTCATATGACAAAAATCACATTACATTTATTAATATCTGTAGTTATAAACATGATATTTTTAAACATAATTCAATAAAAAATTCATAGAAAAAAAATTATATCAGAACTGACATCTAACTGTGAAAATTTGTAACATTTTGTTAAAATTCATATACTCCAGTTAAGTAGTTTGTTCTTGGCACTAAGCCAGAACAACTTGAAATGTTGTTCTGTACTATTCTACATAACATGAATGTACGATTTTTCTTTTTAAAATTATCACAGATTATATAAATCCTTTGTTTGAAATCAAAACTTTATTTTGCTATCAACTAATATTAGGAACTACTATACTTTATTCACTTTATTTCGAACAAAAATATAAATTTTTGTAATAAACATATAAGAAAGTAGTAATACTATTAATAGTATTAATTACTAGTAATATTTACTATATACTAGTAATAGTAATAGAAAACGTTAGAACATTAAAGTTTTTTATCGTTCATGTGCTGGAATTAGCACTTAGGTGTGAAGTAGTAGTTTCGATAGTAATAGTATTAATTACTAGTAATATTTTAGATTAAATTAAAAAATAAAAAAATATAAGAATTGAAGGTCACAATTTAAATATTTATAATAGTTGACTTATTATAACTGAATAAACTTATTATAGCATGAATGAATGTGTAGGTCGCTGTGGTTGAGCACTACAATCCTTTTGTCTAGTCGAGTAGTAGAGCTCTCGTCGTACACCACCGATCTCTCTTGTGACAGGTGAAAAAAGTGCTGGAATCTGTCGAAATGCTGACGTCAACCTGTCGGCCCTCTGGTTGCCCTATGGTGGCGACTATAGGCATTAGCGCCTCAAATGTATTTTAGTGATATTATTACGTAAATATGCTATAAATAGAATAAAAAGTTATCAAAAGATATATAAATTAAGAAAAAAAATCGCTTAATAAAAATTTTTGAGTCACAAAACACCACCCGGACAAAAATATGTGAAACATATGGTTTAAGGTAGAAAAAGAATGTACGGCAGGAAGTGCGGGAAAGTTTCTGAATTTCACTTTTGAGCAAAGATGCGTCGTCTTGTGGACAAATGATTAGTTATCTACGGTTAATCTAGAATTTATTTTATTCAAAGCTCTGTAAGTACGTTCAGGCTTTCTCACAATTTTTGATGTTTTAACTTTAGTTTTTCTTTGTCTAGATTTACGGTTTATGAGTAAATGCCTTGTATATTTGCAGGGGATGCATGATTTACCATTGTTAGCAATAACCAAACATTTTGAACTGTGGATACAGCCAAATAAATTTTTCATATTTTTAAAGCCAAACAAAATGTTTGATTCTAATTCTGTCTGTTACAGCACCATTGCATATTTTCAACTTATCTGTATTTTCAATAATATCCTCAGCTTGCTGCAAAGAAGAAACTGGTGAAATATTTTCAAATTGAACACCCTTGATATGTACCCAGGGTGGCCAAGCTCCTTGATAGTCCAAGCCATTTTTCAAAATTAGAAATTTTTTGCGAGCCGCAATGAAATACGTATTAAAAAGGTATGCAAAAAATTCCAGATTACAAATTATATCCGAAGCAAGAGTGATACAAATTGTTTCCTCCAGAGCACAATGTTAACTGTCCGTTGCAATGACAGTTAACAAATTCAAAATCGGTCTGGAGTTGGTCGATAACGGACGATTACGCTACTGTTTATGTTCATTCGTGCAGTTTTCGATGAGTCATATCATTCTTAACTTGGACGGAAATGAAATTTGTTACAACGTTGCACTTAGTCTTTCATATTTGTTGTTAGTAATTTAAAAGACATTTTGAAACACATACGGAACGATAATAATTTTTAAAAATATAATAACACAAAAGTGAAAAGGAAACTTGGGTACATCTATCAAGAGCCACAAATAATTCTTCAAAGAGCCGCAGGTTGGACACCCCTCATATATACTTTGCATGAAAATAATCTTCGTACTGGGCAAAAGTTATTAACTTGAGTGCATTTAGACTAGCACTATTGTTCTCTAACTTTAGCTTGTTTTCTGCATACAGAATTAAATTAGATTTATTTGTTAAAGGGCACCTTATCCAGAAATTTGGCACTTTGATCTTTTCAAAATCTTTAAGCTAATGGGATGAAAATGAGGAAATGCTGAAGACAATTCTGGCTCAATATCTAGTTCCTCTGAAGAGAGGAGGGTTGACCTTCTTCTTGTTTGTGTTATTACTTAAATTTTTGTTTGATCTTTTCCTTGGCAGTGAAACATTACTAGTACTTTGGGTAACCTTCAAACTTAGTAGGAACTGCATCAACAGACAGTATTGGAACATCATGGGGGATAATAACTTCTTCACCATTCACAATGTTTCCAATTTCTGATTATAAAATGTTCCTTGAAATGTAATTCACAAATCTTATGCCATGGCTCCAAAGTTAAGTCACTGCATCTGATTAACTTTTCCCAATCTTTTCATTGATTGGCATCTTTTGGCACCAAGAAAAGAGATTTTTTCCTGTGCAGGAGCAGGATTGGTACCCTGTTCTACACAATGGAACAAAACATGTGCCTGGTTTTGACTTTTGAGTGTTTGGTTCTTGTTTAGCCATTATTTGATTAACATTTCCTAAGGATTTATTCACTTTACAAACACAAATTTAATTGGTTTTGATGTTCTTGTATGAAAGGATATTATGTAACAAAAGCAAAAGTAGTGCTACTATTGACATCAGTGCCACCTTGTCTGTGACGTCACTAACCTTGATGTATGGACCAAATGGTTATAATGGAGGAATAAGCACTTTCGACACTATATTTTCTAGCCACTTCAAGTAAGGTGAGGATGATGATTGTGGCTGTTTTGTTAAATAACTAAAGTACATGGCACTTGTACAGTGTAGGGGATACAGATATTTGAGAGGTTTTCTTTCATAAAATTCATCAAATGTAGACTAATTTCATTCCAACATTTCCAAAACACGTATATTTTTCTGGAAATGGTCCATATAAAATATGTTATAAACAAAAAATTGTAGGAATACTACAAAAAATTGTAGGAATACTTCCCATTCGAAGATGCCATGGGCATGTTTTTTAATGCAGCGCTTGAGAAGTGTTTTACAGCAAACACTCTGAAACTCATTTGTAAATGCAGCACTGCAATGTAGAGAACTGTTTTGGATGGGCTGGCCATATGGAATTTTCAAGGTTTTCTCCACGTAAATAGGAGCCAGTTTCCTTTAAAAAAACCTCATGGAAGGCATCCCCCTAGGCCAAGGATAGCAAATGTTTTTATGTTCACGTGCCATATTGTAAGCATACTTAGCTTTAAAGATGTTTATGCATGCCAAAGTTTTAGACTTCGAATAACAATTATTAAAAAAATTAAACGAATACTCTTTAATTAGAAAAACGTAAAAAAGCTGATTGAAAAAAGGATGATCAGGTGATGAACCAAAAAGATAATTTCAATTAAAAAGACAGAAATCGTATAATACATTATGTGCCAGATGATTTCTCCTTATGTGCCACTTTGGGCACACCTGCCACAGGTTCACCACCCCTGCCCTAGGCAGATCACTCAAGTGTTGCATTGTCATAACTAAAACAAACCAACCAAACCAATGTCACCTTGATTAATGCACAAATTGTGCAATATACATGATGTCATTACAACTTTAGACATTGACAAAATGTTTTCCATATCCAGGTATTTCAGTTGATGGAATAACCCTTTTAGTAGACTTATGGTTTGTTCTACTACAACTCTGATAGAAATGCGTTTTCTGTTAAAATTACTTTGTTTGACAGTAAGATTTTTAATTGTACCTTATAAAGGTTATAGTAATGTATCTAATGGATATGCTGAATCTGCAAGTAAATAATAGTTATTACCTAAATACTTTGAAGATTCATTCAAAAACATATTATAAATATGACTCTGCTGCCAAACCCAAGAATTATTGGCACTTTCAGGCCAACCAACAAATGCATCAATAATTTGCATTTCTGAATCATAGATTATTTGCAACAGGATAGAGTGCCTTCCTTTCCTGTTGCAATAACTTTGGCTGTTTTCCTTTGGAGCTTTTATATATATGTGTGTTCCATCAACACACCCAATTATTTCAGGCAATGAAACAGTATGTAATTCTCCAAATTTGTGAACTGTTCTTTTCAAGTTATCCCCCTTGATGTGGGTTCCTGTCTGTGGTGAGGAAGCCTCCTAGAGATGGTTTAGTAACTCCTCTTTACTATCCCTGGGATCTGAACGCCCACCCACGTGTTTGCCGTGCGTGGTGTCCCGTATGCTGGAAAGGGGGATTCTGGTAGTTCAGGGGCAACATAATGTCCCCAACACACTGCTTTGGCCCCTGCTTCGGATAAACGGGAGGCTCAAATCAGGCACTGTTTGAGTCAATCAGCTGGTCGTTGAGTCATTTTTGACCTCGGCCTGGAGTCAACTGATCGATGCAGACATGTCAGACAAGATGTGCTCTTCTTGACTGCATTGTGAGGGTATTGCTCCTGGGAAAACCTGGTGCGATGGTCTATGGGAATCTTCTATGTGATGGCATCCCCTTGTTGGGCCCGTGGTGGGTGGGGTCACTAGGAGCTGAATAATTATTTCTAAATATGGATTCATTAAAGAACAAACAAACATGTACTAAAGTTGCACCAAAGGAGGTTAGTTCCTCCAACCAACCATCATATCTCATCGTGCATGCTACAGGAGAAACAACTTTATCTAAATGTTTTCCCTTTTTGATTCAAAAACTCTTTGAATTGACCATTGGGAATCTTAAAAAAATCCAGAAGTTGAGGTCAGGAGATCTGCCAGTAGAAGCAGCCTCCCCTTAACAGTCTGGAAAGCTGTTGAAAATGAAATCTCTAGAAGACATACAAGTCACCATCATACCACACACAAGTTTGAACTCATCACGTGGTGTGATATGTGAAATTGATCTGATGTCTGAGGATGAATCAGATATTCAGATTCGTCTTTCAGACCAAGGTGTCACTGCTGTTCGACAAATTTCAATTTGTTGAGACAGCAAGTTAATACCAACTGAACACATTATTCTCACCTTTGGAAAGCCATCATTGCCATCTTTTCTTATGGCAGGATATTTGCGCTGTTCAGTTTGTACATATATTCCAAATCCACTGCGTTCTTTCAAATGCCAGCAGTTTGGACATTTACAGACATCTTGTCGAGGGAACAATGTATGTGCACAGTGTGGAATTGAAGGTCATCAGAGAACTGAGTGTACTACCACTCTATGCTGTGTGAATTGCAAAGATGTTCATCCAACCTACTCCCACAAATGCCCTGCATGGCAGACAGAAAAAGAAATCCAACGTGTAAAAACAGTCAATAACTTATCCTATCCAGAGGCGCTTTGCATGGTCATTTCAAGTGCACCACTAAAACAAAAGACATTCGCTGCTGTTTTGAAATCCACAAAGACCTGTAGAGTTCAAACCGACATTTCTGTTTCTCCAAAGGAATCTCTCACCAGACATGCGAAATGTTCACTGATTCCACCAAAAGAAACACCAGAAAAGGAGAGTATAAAACCAAAAACACCCCTACCTAAAACTGGGGTAGTAAGCAGAAATGTGGGTTCTAAGAAAGCAACTAAAAATTCACTTAACAAACAAAAGTTAAAAGCAGCCCTCTCTAAATCTAAAAGATCAGAGACTCAGTCTATGAGTGAGTTCTCTAATATCTCTAATGAAGAGCCTAACACGGAGGTGAAAAAACCAATGTCACCCCCAAAAGATAAACCCCCTGTGAAATTAAAGAGGGATATTATTGCGAAAAATGCTGCCTCAAACACAGGATTACAAAATAATTAAATGGAACTGTTCGTGGTTTCCGCAACAACTTCTCTGACATTAAACACTTGACGGCATGTACTTCATCTTTCTATGGCACTCCAGGAAACAAATGTAAATCCTAGAGAAAGGATTTCTTTTAAAGGATTTGATCTCTACCGCAAGGATGATGATATCCACAACCGTGCCAGTGCCGGTGAGGCTATTTTTGTTTCGAATCGCGTTCCATCCTTACCGGTACAAATAACCACTGCTTTGCAAGCTATGGCAGTCAGAATTTCTATTGGAGTAACTGTCACAGTTTGTTCTATATAATTGCCACCAGATGTCAGAGTCAATGAGGATGAATTGGATGCATTAGTTGAACAGCTGCCAACTTCATTCTTTTACTGGGTAATTTCAATGGCCACAATCCTATGTGGGGCAGTCCCAACATTAATCATCGAGGCAGAGCCATTGAACGACTCATAGGCAATAAGCAACTATATTTATTTAATAGTGGAGAAGTGACATACTTCCATGCCTCAAAAAGAACTTTCACTGCCATTGATTTATCGTTAGCAAGTCCAAACCTGTTTTCCGCATTTATATTGGAGGTTGGATCTAATCCACTCTCTAGCGACCACTTCCCAATATTTCTAAAATATTGAGGCAGAGAAAGCTGTGAAACAGCCCGTCCACCACGCTGGAAACTGGAAACTGCAGATTGGCCTGCATTCTCTTCTTTGGCTAACATCACTGAGGAAATGGTCAATACTGCAGATATCGATGATGCAGTTGAGGTTGTCACTTCCAGTATCATTCAGGCAGCCGAAAAAACAATGGGGAAAACATCAACTAGATATCCAAAACATCCTAAACCATGGTGGAACCAGAATTGCGAGGCAGCATTTAAAAAACAAAAGAAAGCATGGGGAATTTTTAGAAGATACCCCACTGGTAATAATATGATTGCTTTCCAAAAACCAAAGGCAAATGCCAGAAAAATAAGAAGGCATAGCCAAAGGGATTCTTGGAGGAAGTATGTCTCTAGCATAACATCTTCCACTAGCTCAAAAGCAGTCTGGATAAAATCCATAAAATTAATGGGAAATATAATTCTCACTCTCTGTCCATGCTAGAAAATAATGGCACAATAATTAGCAATATACAGGGTATTCTGATACGTTGGGGGAATTATTTTCGTCTTCATGCAGCAATATAATGTATCCAAGAAATTTTCAGGCTTATAAAGCCCAAAGTGAAAACCAATATTTAAATTTTTATTCTTCATCTAATAAGGAATATAATGTGCCATTCACTAGAATTGAATTACATACAGCGATCTCTTGCTCCGGGAATAGTGCTGTAGGTCCGGATAAAATCCACTATAGCATGATTAAAAATCTGTCAAACAATTACCTTTTAAATCTCCTGCATCTGTTTAACAGAATATGGACAGAAAATATTTTTCCCGACTCTTGGAGACTTTGAATCTAAAACTTGGTAGAGACCGCAAGAATCCCTGTACCGTATTTTTCGCCGTATAAGACGCACCCAATTTTAAAGGAGGCAAATTCAGAAAAAAAAAGATTATGAACCAAATTCTGTAGTAAAATATTTTATATCAACTGTATAAAGTTAACAGCAGTTAAGAAAAATTTTATGTCAACCATGTAACATACTAAGAGCTATCTTTACTATCATAAACAGTCAGCAAACAGTGAAAGTAACAAAAATAAGGCTGTCATGTTTTTATTCTAACCCCAAGAATTCCTCTTCTTTGCTGCTATCAGAAATGAGGAAGGACAGATCCACGCAGTCATTGTCATCACTTTCTTTCTCACTGGTGTCAAATAAGACGTCGTCTTCTGTTCCATCCAAGGCATTACTAATGCCACACTTCTTGAATGATTTTACAACAATGTCTTTCTTTACGGAGTCCCATGACCTTTTAACCCATTCACACACTTGTGTGATAGTGGGCCTCTTCATCCGTCCAGTAGGAGTCAGATCATGGTTCCCAGCTGCCATCCAGGTGTTCCACTCCTCTCGCATCAGAACTTTGAACGGTTTGTTAATAGAAACGTCCAGAGGTTGCAGCTGGCTGGTAAGACCACCAGGAATCACAGCTATTTGGGTCTTAATTTCCTTAAAGTTCTTTTTAGTAGTTTCTGTAATGTGCGCTCTGAACTGGTCAAGCACCAACAAGGAAGATTTCTTCAGAAGCCCGCCAGGACGTTTAGACCACACTTTATCAATCCACAGCCTCATGCCATTTTCGTCCATCCACCCTTTATCATGAACGTGCACGATGACTCCCCGTGGAATTGTTTCTTTTGGGAATGTTTTTCTTTTAAAGATCAACATTGGCGGCAGTTTGGTACCATCTGCACAGCAGGACAGCACAACCGAGTAGTGGGTTTTCTCATGCCCTGAGGTTTTTACGGTTATGCTTTTGGCTCCTTTGTTATCTACGGTTCTGTTAGACGGCACATCAAATGTTAGCGGGACTTCATCCATGTTCCCAATCTGGCTCATTTCAAAGTTATTCTTCTTCCTCGCATCAATAACAAACTTATGAAAAGACAGAATCTTTGATTCGTATTCCTTTGGCATTTTTTGTGCAATTCTGGTTTTGGTGCGCATAGAAAGGCCAGATCTCTTCATAAATCTATAGCACCA